ACAAAGAAACGTCACAAGTGAAAGAAATGGAAGAAAGCAAACTACTGGATACAGCATTCAAAACCACAGTTATAAAGTTACTCGACTATCTTCATGAGACCTTCAAGGACTTAGTGAAACTTTTAAAGATCTTAGTGAGAATGCCAAAGTCATGGAAAAGGACCAGTCAGAAATAAAGCATACACTAACTGAAATAAAGAATAATATACAGGGATTCAACAGTAGACTAGGGGAAATATGAGGAAGCAAGAAACATCAAATCAGAAGAGCAAAAAGAAAATAGAATCTAAAGGACCTATGTGGGCTGCTTTTTTAATCCAGAGGGAGATAGTCCCTACAGAGGCTGCTATGAGGAGCAAGGGGTCCAGGATCCACACCAGACCCCCCAACTCAGGATCCCAGAGCTGGGAAGAGAAGTCCCCATAACTTTGGGCTGTAAAAACCAGTGGGGATTGAGGCTGAGGGACACGGAAGCTACCAGAGACCCAGGTGTCCCTCTTAAAGGGTCAGGCACAAACTTAGACTCACTTCCTCTGAGCTCCAGTTCCAGGAGGCATTGGGGAACCTAGACACATATGGGGAGGAACTGGGTTGTCTGGCATCGGGGCAGGAACTAGGGATGGCTTTCTACCAGATGGAGATACTCGGGAGGTGCTCACAGGGGTCATTGTTCCTATGCCAAGACCTCCGTGAGGGGGCGGGTCCCCTTTGTCAGACATCTGCCCTAGGGCTGGCGCAGCACAGAGCCCTGTGGAGGGCTGTTTTCACCCCCCAGAGAGGGCAACAGGCCCAAACACAGTCAACCCAGGGGAGGTAACCATATCTGAGTCCCCATCAACTTGGAGCACACTGTTTGCCCTGCCCTGGTGATTTGATGAAACCCTGCCCCATCCAATTTGCAGCCCCACCCAAGCTGTCCCTGGGGCCTTACTCCTTGGAAATGGCAAAGGGCTTTTCCACTTCGATCTTGCCACAGTCTGCAATGATCACATCCTTCAGGGGCTTGTCCCGACCATCCGTCTTGGTGCTCTCCACCTTCCGTACTACTTCCATGCCCTCTAGAACTTTGCCGAACACTACATGCTTGCCATCCAGCCATGTTGTCTTGACTTGTGATAAAGAATTGGGAGCCATTGGTGTCTTTGCCAGCATTGGCCATGCTCACCCAGCTGGGCCCATAGTGTTTCATCTTGAAGTTCCCACCGGGGAAGCGTTCACCGTAGATGAAATGTGAGGGGGCGGGTCCACTTTGTCAGACATCTGCACTAGGGCTGGTGCAGCACAGAGCCCTGTGGAGGGCTGTCTTCACCCCCCAGAGAGGGCAACAGGCCCAAACACAGTCACTCAAGAGGAAGCTGTCCCTGGGGCCTTACTCCTTGGAAATGGCAAAGGGCTTTTCCACTTCGATCTTGCCACAGTCTGCAATGATCACATCCTTCAGGGGCTTGTCCCGACCATCCGTCTTGGTGCTCTCCACCTTCCGTACTACTTCCTGGGGAGAAAGGGCAGAAGCAGGAAGGCAGGGTGGGTCAGGGTCTTGACTATTGTGATAAAGAATTGGGAGCCATTGGTGTCTTTGCCAGCATTGGCCATGCTCACCCAGCTGGGCCCATAGTGTTTCATCTTGAAGTTCCCACCGGGGAAGCGTTCACCGTAGATGCTCTTACCTCCAGTGCCATCTCCCCGAATGAAGTCTCCACCCTGGATCATGAAGTCCTTGATCACATGATGGAATTTGCTCTCTTTGTAGCCAAATCGTTTCTCTCCCATAGCTAAGGTCACAAAATTATCCACTGTTTTTGGAACAGTCTTTCCAAAGAGACCTATGACCACCCGGCCTATGTCTTCATCTCCAATCCGCAGGTTAAAGTACACCTTGACGGTGACTTTGGGCCCCTTCTTCTTCTCATTGGCCATGGAAAGTCCCGGCAACAGAAGGAAGACGACGGAGCCCACGATGAGGGCAGTGACGAAAAGAAGCTTTATGTTCCACTCCGAGAGGCCTAGCATCCACGGGGAGAAGGGAGCACGGCCGGGACAGCTGAGCAAGACAAAGAATTTTAAAAGTAGCAAGAGAAAACAAAGTACACCTTGACAGTGACTTTGGGCCCCTTCTTCTCATCAGCCATGGAAAGTCCTGGCAACAGAAGGAAGATGACGGAGCCCACGATCAAGGCAGCGACGAAGAGAAGCTTTATGTTCCACTCTGAGAGGCTTAGCATCCACGGGAAGAAGGGAGCACGGCCGGGGCAGGTGAGCAAGACAAAGAATTTTAAAAGTAGCAAGAGAAAAGCAATTAGTTACCTACAGGGGAATGCCCATACGACTGTCAGCTGATTTCTCAACAGAAACTATGCAGGCCAGAAGGGAGTGGCAAGAAATATTCAAAGTGATGAATGGTAAGGACCTACAACCAAGATTACTGTACCCAGCAAAGCTATCATTTAGAATTAAAGGTCAGATAAAGTGTTTCACAGATAAGAAAAAGCTAAAGGAGTTCATTACCACCAAGTCAGTATTACAAGAAATGTTGAAGGATATTTTTTAAGAAGAGGAAGAGGAAGAAGAAAAAGATTTAAAAAATGAACAATAAAATGGCAATAAATACATATCTATCAACAATTGAATATAAAAATCAAAATAAAAAGAAATCTAAAGAACAGAATAAACTGGTGAATAAAATAGAATCGGAGGCATGGAAATGGAATAGACTGATGATTCTCAGAGGGAAGGGGGGTGGAGGGTGGGAAGAGATTTAACAAAGATCTTACATGTATATATGCATTACCTATGGACACAGACAATAGGGTGATGAAGGGGCAGGGCAGGAACCAGGTGGAGTGGGCATTAAGGGGAAAAAGAGGGATATCTGTAATACTCTCACAATAAAGATTTAAAAATAATAATAAACACTAAAAAATAATAATTTGATACATGCACAGAAACATGCACAAGGATGTCCATGTGGTGTTATGTAGCAATAAATAACTGATACAGTAAAAATAAAAATAAAAAGCCATCCAGCTCTTACTGACCAACATAGAACTCTGGGATGTGGAGCACTTTCCTCCTTTCTAACATATCTTTTCTTTCTATTTGAAATTTCAGAGGATTTGTTCTTCCTCTTAGAGGAATGAATTCAGGACTCAAGAACCTGTAGGGAAAAAAATAAAAGCAAACTTTAAAGACCATTAGAAAAATAAAAAGAAATTTGTGTGCCAGGAAAAGGGAAAGGATGGATTTCGGTGACAACTGGCAGTTTCTACCACAGTGCTGGTGCTTCCTTGGTTTCATTGGTAATCACCTTCAAACATGGTTCTTGTTGTCTTTTTTTCAGGAGGTGCATTCAGTGTACAGAATTTTGGCTGGGATTTTGAATATTGGAAACATTGAATTTGCAGCTATTTCTTCTCAACATCAAACTGATAAAAGTGAGGTGCCTAATGCTGAAGCTTTGAAAAATGGTAATTATTTGATGCCTGTGCACTGTGTTGCCAAAGTACATCTTTCTTTCACTTTGGTAGTTTTTAAAGACTCTGTAGAGGATAGTGCAGCTGCTGCTGGTTCTTCTGCTAGCTCTGAGTGTTTTCACTAACCAGTGTTTCCTGAAAGATGCCTTGTAGAACATGAGCTGCAGATAGGTGTTCTGCAGAAAAGAATTTCACGGCAGGTAACTTTGGACAGTGGTTCTCAACACTGGCAGCTTTTGAAAATCATCAAAAATTTTTTGAAATTAATACGAGAGGTTGGACCCGACTCTAAATCCATTGAATCAACCTCAGCCGGGGAGAAAGCAGGCACCTAATTGGTTTTTTTGTTTTACAAGTAATAATGGTGGTACGAAGAAGGAGAATCCTGAGTTTACAAAAACCTCATTTAAATCAAATGAGCACCTTTTGTGTTAAAATACAGCACTTCTTATGGCCTGTAAAATACGAATTTGTGTTGTGACTCTCTAAGAGGATATTATAGTCTCCAGAAACTGCTCCAACTGGCCTGACCAAAGCTACTTCTTCCCACTTTTGTTTTTTTAAAATATATATTTTTATTGATTTTTTACAGAGAGGAAGGGAGAGAGATAGAGAGTTAGAAACATCGACGAGAGAGAAACATCGATCAGCTGCCTCCTGCACATCTCCTACTGGGGATGTGCCTGCAACCCAGGTACATGCCCTTGATCGGAATCGAACCTGGGACCTTTCAGTCCGCAGGCTGACGCTCTATCCACTGAGCCAAACCGGTTTCGGCCTCCCACTTTTTTAAATCTAACACCATGCAGAGCTTTCAGGACAGTGTGGGAGATACTGGGTCATCTGGATGCTTCTTGGGGTTAGGGACCTTGCTTGTTTATCTAGGACTTTGAAGTGCCAAGGACAGAATAGATGTTGAGTAAATGCTGGCTGGATGAATGAATGGATGGATGGATTCATTCTCCAGTGTCACCCTGACGCTTTGTTCCAGCTGCCTCTGTCCTCTGCATCCGCCCCGAAGAGCTCCAGGAGGCCCTCACGTCACATTGTGTGGTCACCCGAGGAGAGACCATCATCCGCGCCAACACTGTTGACAGGGCCTCGGACGTCCGGGATGCCATGTCTAAAGCCTTGTATGGGAGGCTCTTCAGCTGGATTGTAAATCGCATCAATACACTCCTGCAGCCAGAGAAAAACATATGGCAAGTTCCCCCAGGGAGCAGAGGCCTCGGAAGAGCTGTCATCAACCCCGGTGTCTGAGAATTTGCAGGACAAAACCTTTGGTCCTCTCTTGGGCTTTCTTTAGCGAAGCTCTGAGGGCTTCTTCTTTTAAAAATGCACTGGGATCCAGGAGGGCTGAGGAGTGATACCCGAAAGGCAGATGATTGACAGAGCCAGTACAGTGTAGAGTTGAAGAGAACAAACTTGGCTTGGAACTTGACAAACAGGATTGGCATCCAAGTTCTACAGCTTGATCAGCTGCATGTTCTAAGTGGCGGTTTTCTCATCTGTAAAATTAGGATAATAATCTTCTCATAATTAGAATCAACGGAGACATTTCATAAAAAGTTGTAAAGCACAGTATCTTACATTATCACCACGACTCCCTCGATTGTGGGTGGGGAGGTGAAAGCATGAGAGTGCAGCTCCCGCCCATTAGGAGTGGTTCCTCTTTAGTCTCTTTCTATATGGAGCTCCTACTGCTTTAAACAAGTTGGAAATACTGTTGAAAAGACTAAAGGAATACATGGTTTAAGACACAAACTATTCCTTTCTTAGAGGCGGCAGAATGCTACTTCCCATGAGTGGGTACATGGATTGATAAATATGTGGGCACATATACATTCTCACTGTCCTCTGAGATGAATGTTTCCTTCCCTGAAAGGTTGTATTCTCTCTCCTGCAGTAGTGCAGATGGCGGTATGAATGTGGGGATATTGGATATTTTTGGATTTGAGGACTTCCGGAGAAATTCATTTGAGCAGCTCTGCATAAATATCGCCAATGAGCAAATCCAGTACTACTTCAATCAGCACGTTTTTGCTCTTGAGCAGGTAATAGTGAACTCTGAAATCAGGAAACCTGACCGGGGAAGGTGTCTCCAAGTTGCCCACAATTTGAAACAGAAACCCTGTTAGGCTAACAGGTAAAATGCTCTAAAAACCACTAGTGAGGCTGTCCTGTCAAAATAGATCAATGATCTACATTCAGCCTGAAAAACAAAGTCTTGATTTTTGTGGAAAGGTACATTTCCTCCCTTGGGCGGAGCTGGTGCCAAGCCAATTATTTCATGTGTATTGCCCCAAATACTGGATTTTCTTCTACTTTATTTAGCTAAAAATATCCATGATCATGTCCAAAATGACATGGGACAATCTTGAATTCAGAACACAGGTTCTTATGTTCTTAACTCTCAGGCCAGCGCCATCCCCCACCTCTAGCTCACCAGATCCTAGCGGAACTGGATGGTGTCTCAGGGGAAGAGTAAGATAGGTTTTCTGAAATGGAAGTCTTTCCCCAATGAGTTTAATGACAAATAAAACAGGGTGTGGAGCTAGTTGGACCCTTCTCTTCCACCCCAACCCCAAGACTCTCCTGTATCAAATAGTTGCAATAATGAGACATTCTGACCAAATCCCTTGTTTTAATGAAGAAGTGGAGACACGCAAACTATAATGATTAGAGAAATAGAGACATGGACTAAAAATGCCAATATTGGTTTCATCATCGGAGCTGGATAAATCCATACTGCACTGCTCTCCCCTCTTAACCAACACCCCTCTCCCCCAACCCCCACTCCCCGCACAAAATTTGCCTTGTTTCAGTCCAGGTTCCATGCATTTATTTCCCAGGGAAATCTGGAGTTTTTCTAGTTTTTCAGTCCCAGATGATCCCCTTGCAGAATCCTTTGCAAAATAGAAGTCTGCTTTCTACCTGGTTTAAATCATACTTGTCACACAGAAATTTTTTTTTTAAATTCGACTTCTCTTCTTTTCTACAGGAGTTTCTAAATTATGTTACCAAATCATTGTTTGGGAGATAGAGAGCCATCCCTTCTTTTGCCCGCTTTAGCTGCCTGCCACAGGCCACCCATAGGTCAGGCTTAAACCAAAGCTTTAAAAGTGTTATATGCAGAAGGGTCCTTTACCAACATAAACACACCCTGTTTTCCACATGTGTTCAGCATTGCAGGACATAGAAAGTTCATGCTAAGGCAGCCTGGTGGTGCCTCGGCCAGTTTGGGGCTGGAGACATTCACACTCCGTTTCCTTCCAGATGGAATATCAGAACGAGGGCCTTGACGCTGCCCCTGTGGAGTATGAGGACAACCGGCCACTCTTGGATATGTTCCTCCAGAAACCCCTGGGGCTACTGGCGCTTTTGGATGAGGAAAGTCGGTTTCCCCAGGCCACGGATCAGACCCTGGTTGGTAGGTACCTTTTGGAAAGGGATATACACTCAGAAGAGAACCTGGCTCATGTCAGCCAATGAGTGTGGCTTAATGGACCTATCCTGTGTATTTTAGCCAGCTGGTGAGTTGTGAAAGTGCTTTTAAGAAATTGAAATGTC